CGCCAAGCGCACGTGGGCAAATTGGCAAGTTGGGTTGTTCCCTTTGGCCAGTGGACTCCTGCCTTTGCCCCTTCGAACAAGCGGCTGTAGCGAAAGCCGTAGCCGTTACCGGAGATGTCGTTGCCTTGGCTCTCAACAACATGCACGCTGGCAGCTGGAAGTGGAACTCAAGGAGGTCAAAAAAAGGTCGAAAAGAGGTAAATCAGAGGTCAACAAGGGCTCAGCAAGGGGTCCATCAGGATGACTTTGACCCTCAGGGATTCGCGGATTGGGGAGTTTGAAGGCTAGACCGGAACGTTCACAAGAGGCTAGCAGTAACGAGGGGATAAGCAAGGGGTTCACAAGGTCGTCAGAAGGTCTTGACAGCCGGTTCAATCACAATGAGTTCACAAGGGTGGGTTATACGCACACAGGTTCAGAATTTGCTACCAGTGCAATGCCACTGGCATACATGACCTTCACAACTGATGTTTTCAGGTCGGAAAGAATCAAAAAGGGTACGGACCAATACGTCAGCAACGGACAATCATATATGACATGAGTCTTTGATGGTCCCTTATGGGTTTTGCAGTCGGGGGGTATCATGTTTGATGGTTGGGGCAACCGCTGGGAACCCCACAACAAACCAGACCAGAAGGAAACCTAGCGTTTGTAGAGGTCCCCTCATCCTGGACACACTCATGTCAAGGGTCTTTCGGGTGGATGGGCTGGGAAGCATGTCATTTGGCAAAGGCAACAACTAATAAACTCTTCTCCAATGATCCACACCATGAGCAAGCATCAAGTCAACTTGTTGACCACCTCCAATCAATGATTCTGACTGTGTGAACGCACGCATGGAAGTATCAATTATCGACAGATTCAAGGGCGGGCATTTCGCCAAAAGGAGACAACTGTTCGATGTCTTTTCGGTTCTATGCTAGGTCCTGGCAAATCCATATATGTTGGAAGCCCGAACATTTCTCGTGTGGGGGATGGTTTCAGAGGGAGACCAAATTACTACCCCACGCAATCCACGTAGGTAATATCTACCAACAGCTGACCCGTGTGCAAAGAATTCATACCTGGAGTGTGTGTGTGTGTGTGTGGGAACTAATAAACACGCACTACAGCTGGAAGGTTTCGGGCCACAAGTCACCTAAAAAATCGTCAGTACTCACTTCCTGAGTGGATGGCCCCCAAAAAAGTCCCAACTTTTATTTACCACCAAAACGGTCCAAACCCAAAGTCTACCACGTCCAACTCAGGAAGTGGAAATGGCTGTGGGTCAAAACCAATGGTACCATTTTGAGGTAGGTGCACCACCCATTTTAGTCTATTTTAATGGGGGTTGGGATGTTCACTGGGGGCTAACCGATTTGGATTTTCACCCATGGCCAAATCGGAACCGGTTTTCAGGCGCTCTCACGCGTGTTTCCAGCCGCAGGCGCCCACGATCTTCCGGCCCTCGTTCTGCACCACGAAGGCGAAGCCGTCCGCGCCCGCGGGCTCGCACCAGTCGTCGATGAAGCACTCCTCCGAGTCATTCGCTTGGAAGGCTTGGCATGGGCAGGGGGCTGGGGGGGGGGGGGTGGTATGGAGCATAAGGGTGTGTGTTGTTTTCATTGGGGTCTGGTGGGGGGAGGATATTGAGCAGAATGTTGACGCAGGATTCATAAACCCGTCTCATTCTTAGGGGGTGTTCCCTCCAAAAGTGATGAATCCCCACTAAAAGGGGACACCCCCCCTATTAATCAACCAGGGGTTTATTCATCCGGGGTTAACATTAAGGGGCTGAGTTTTTCATTGGGGTCCTGGAGGTGGGTTCACCAGAATGAGTTCTAGTGTCAAAGGGAAGTGGCTGCTAAAATCCTGTGCCATACCCGGAATGAAATGATGCAATAGGAGCCAACGAATCTCTTTGAGGGTTGGATCGGTGTTGCTCTGCCCACATCCCATTTGGCAGACAAGAACCATTCTAAAGAACCCACAAACGGCTTGTTCCTGCGGTTTTGCTTTGGTGGCCCACCAGAACTTACTTCTCATAGAGAACCACCTGGATCGATTTTGGCTCTGAGTCTCCGGTCCGTGCCCCTTCAAAGATGGGGTGAAACTCATGCCCCCCTTATTTCTTGCGTTGACCCATCGGGTGGAGACGCCATACTCAGTGTACATCTCGCTTCAAGGGCTTGGCTGGTTTTGGCAGCCGAAACTTGCTGGTCACTTGGGACGAGCTCGAGGAAGTGAACCCTTTGGGCTACATCCAACATGCTGCCCCCCGAACTTAAATGTTAGATACTTTGATGAGATATCAGTTTGTTAAGGCCCAACCAGGTTTTCGCCCTCCCGACCAATCCAGCCTACCATAACTTGCTGGTTCTCAGTAGGGACTTGCTGAGAATGAAGCGGAAGGGAATCCTAACGGAAACCATCAGTTGGATGGGTTAGTTTGAGAGTTTATGCTACTTAAGCAAAAACCTGCTGAGAACCAGCAAGGGAAAGAGGCACTTTAAAGGCCATCTGAAACGAGGTTTGGTGCCTTGTGAGCGATTGCTGTAGGTTGCACCCCCTGATGAAGCAGTCCTCGCTAAAGCCACCTGTGGAAACTGAGTCCATTTGACATCCGCAAAGTTACACTCGAGCATAAAAAGCTTCAAAAGTCCTCCAAATGTTCACTTGAAGGGACCAAGTTAAAGTGTGGGAAATGGGAATTGGGGGGGGGTGATATTCCTATGAGAGGGAAGCTTGAAAGAACAAACATCGGAACGGCCTTCAACACATTTGCTTCTTGCCGTGGGTTCCAGCCAGCGGGAGGGTAGCAAGGGGCCGAACCCCTCCTTGGCCAAGGCTCTGGGCCAAAGGAGGGGAATGCTGTCGAAAAATAAGTTGGGGTACAAGCTTAGGGATACTCTTTCAGGGGTACACTACATTCGGTTTGGTATGACAAAAAGGAGCCAGCCCGGTTGTTTCAGCCTGGTCAATATGAGGCCCCTCAAAATAGGTGGCTTCCTAGGATGCTTGCTCTGAACCTGTGCAGAGGGTCTCCTCATGTTCGATACCCTTACGGTCCCATGTTCCACCGGGATTGATGGACTCTTGCACTACGATGCCGGCCTGAGGAGCCCTCAAATCGCGGATCGTTTCACTGCAGGCATCATCTGGAAATGTTCCTTTGGGATGTGCCTCTGATGTTCCCTCTTTCAGGAAACCGCCCTGACTTTCTATGGGCCAACTATTTCAGGCAAACCCCATAAGGATTCAAGCACAGTGGGTTGAGAAGCTTTTGTTTGTCGGTCGGAACATGGTGCTTCATCAACGAGGCTGAGCACGAGATGCCACATGAATTATAGCTTGGCATGACCGTTGCTCAGAATTGGGATAAAATCGCCTTGCCTTAGGTATGACGGTCCATCCCAAAAGTGTGCCATTTGGCATCAAGCCTGTTGGTGCGAGAGACCCCCACCCTTCCAACTGCACAAAGAACCGTGTCCTTCGTGCGATGGAAGACGCGGAAGTGGAACTCAGTCCTGGGGATCCGTGAACATTCTAGGGCTACCTTCCCCATTCTTTCCAGGAATCCTTCTAGGAAACCATCAAAATCCCAGGGGAAACGTCTGGTTTTTCAAAAGAACGATGGTTGAAAAGAATGGGGAATCAACCCCCAGAAACATTGTGAGCTGAAATGTCTGCCGCCGATGTAGAAAAGAACGAGTCATCCCGCGTTCTACCTCTCCATCGACATGGATGCTTCCACAAATGCAGGACACGCGGCATCGCTAGCGAACGTGCAATTGAACAGCAATGACCCTTGGGATGGGTCTGGATTGTTGCGAGAGCGCACCAATCTATTGAAGCCCCGCTTCACCGCCTTTCGTCCAGTAGGACATAGCTTGTCAAAGCAGTGAACACTAACTCAGGCTTACCTTCAGTCTTTAGCCAACCAAAAACCAAAAGCATAAAACGTGTGCATCTCATGCGTTTTGGCTCATCTGCGTCCTCTTCCCGTGCCAGGGCCAAACCACACGTCCCGCACGCATCCCTTGTTTCTCTGACAAATATGGTCTACAAACACATCTATCTATGTATGCAGGATGCACTTTGAGCGCATCTTGCAACACATGGTTGGGCCCCTGGACATGTGCTGGTAGTTTCAATTTGGTCACTTGGAGTTGGGGATCTTCACTGAGGGGGTGTACCCTGACCCCGCTGTACTTCAGCTCTTCAACCAAATCATGTGCTGATTCCGGTGATTGGTCCACATCTGGTGGACTTGAACATACGTAGGTGTCCTTTTTGGGAAAATAGAGGACCCTGGTTGTTGATTGAACCACCGACAAACCAGGAACCGCCCTCTTCGGATCCGAGCGTGGGACTCCTTGAGAACATGGGAGGGAGAACCATAGCATGCCTTCAAGATCCAGACACAAGGAAATCCTTCAAAACCACCCCCCAAACCCGTCCCTCTTTTCCCCTTTCTCTTTGCCCCTTTTCATTTGTTGCCCCTCAGAGTCTCCGCCTTTTAGAACCCAGGCACCCATACCCCACCTTTGGCCCTTGTGTTGCCAACCCTGATATGTTCTTCTTGCTGGCTCTCAGGGAATGAGGGCATGACACGTCTCAACCCATTCTTTTCAAAGAAAACCCGAGTGGTTCATTCCCAAGACCTGGGTCATGCCCTACCTAGATTTCCGGGGCCAGCCGTCCGTTTTTTTTGCGTCTTTCCCGTAACGGCTTCTCCCTATCATCCCCTTCAAAAGAAAACCAGTGGTTCAACCCCCCAAAACACTCGGTTCATTCCCCCCAAAACCCCAGTGGTTCATCCCAAGACCTATCCCACCAGCAAGTCCTCGGATTTCCGTTTGGCCGCTTTGCCGCCCGTTCCTCGTGACCGAGGCGCTCGAAGCCATAGGCCACCAGCTGCTTGAATCGGCTCCAGGCCGCCGAGTTCTGTGCGCTCCTGGAAATGGACACGCGGCAAAATAATGTTGTTTGTTTTATATATATATATATAATAATAGTCATCATCATCATAATATAGTAATACATATAATATATATATGTATATATATATAAGAATAGTTGAAGACACAAGACATGTATATGTTGATCGTTGTTTCGTTTGTATCTGCACATTTTACAATATCTCCAAAGCCTGAAAGAAGAAATGCCCAAGTAAAGGATCTTCATCATGGTGAGCTGGTTTTACCCCCAAAGCTCGCCATAAAAAGGCAGATGCGTATGGCCATGGAAAGCAATTCAGACCCACCGAACGAGCGGGTTGGCCAAAGCCGTTTAACCACTAAAATGATCCAAACCCGAAAACTTTAAAGTCCAGGAACTCAAAAGGTGATTCAATCTTAGACTGGGCTGGCGGACGGAATGAATCAATGAGCCAATGAATCAAATGAATCTCAAATTAAAACAAAACGAAACAAAACAAAACAACCAACATCTGAATCAATGGGGCTGTGAACAAATGAACCTAAAAAAAAAAAAAAAACGACATCTGAATCTGGACCAATGAGCCACACTCACATAGAAACAACCGCACGCGCACACACACAAACAAATACACACACATACACACACAAACAAACAAACAAAGAAATAATACAAACACAAATCAAAACAGATACAACCAAATACACAAGCACACAAACAAGCAATTACAATAAATAAACAAATAAAGAAACAATAATAATAATACTAAACACAACGACTGAGAAAGAAACACATACAGAAAGCAAGAACGAAAGACAAAAAGACAGAAAGACATAAAGACAGAAATACAGAAAAACAGGAACAACGAAATAGGTGAACAGATAAGGAAAAACACAACAAGCAAACAAAACCAACAAAAAAAACAACAAGCAAACAACCTACGAAACAAACAAACCAAAATCAAACCAACACAAACCAAAACAAAGCAAACCAAACCAAAGCCAGCCAACCAACCAACCAACCAACCAGCCAGCCAGCCAGCCAGACAGCCAGACAGCCAACCAACCGCCAAAAGAACCGCCAAAAGAACCACCAAAAGAACCGACAAGCGAACAAACAAACAAACAAACAAACAAACTAGCAAACACAAACAAACAAACAGACAGACACACAAACAAAAACACACACACACACATACACAACTAAGCAAGCAAGCAAGCAGGCAAGCAAACAAACAAGATCAAACAAACAAACAGACAAATAAAGAAATACAGAGACAAACAAACACAGATACACATGAATGAATGCGCTAGTGTATGCATGCATGTACGCACATGTATGCAATGAGTGTGTATTATGTTGATGTGTGTTTTGCACGTACGTGCATTTCCCCCGTATGTTTTGATTGCATGCATGTATATTCATTACCCAACAAAAGACAAACCAGGCAACCCACCCAAAAAACAACAAAAACTCTTCACTTGGGCTCCCCCCTTCCCTTGCCTAGTTGCTGCCCCTCCGGCATCTGGGGCGCCGGGCACAGGCTGCGTGAGGCGCAGCGCGTAGTGGCAGAGCTGCGTGCGGGTGTGGGGCAACGGCAAGAGGTCCCCGTCTGGGATGAACTCCTCAGCCCGCATGCGCGAGCCCGGCATGGGGCAGGTAGCTTGGCATGGGAATTCATGGGGGGGGGGGGCCCAAAGCTTCATAAGGGCTCCTTCCCCCCTCCTCCCTGCCCCCAAGCCCCCATGAGGAAGTGAGAGATTTCCGCCAGGAATCTGAACAGTTGGGATGCGCTGTGCTTTTTTTGTTCCTCCAGAATTTTAACCCTGTGAGTGTTTCCGATTGACATTTGTTGTGAGGAACCAGATCCGCTGGGTTGACCATGAGCCAAAAACATCAACTAGGACCTTCCAAGTGAGCTGCGGCCTGAACTGCTCCCAGAGACTTGACGTTTGAAGCCCCCAACCCGCACACGGCGGCCGCGAAATATTTCGTCCCAAGGGTGTGCATCGGGGAAGCTGTTTCTGGTGCGGAAGGACAAACAAGCAAACAGAAATCTGCTACATGGCTCTGCATGTTGGACTCTTAAATGAGTCTCAACTCATGGCTCGATCTTTTCAGAAGCCACTGGTTCCACGCAAGGGCTTCAAGGATATAGGCACAAACCAAGAGGGTTTGGAAGGCGAAAGAACAGGAATTGTTGACACATAATCCTGATGCCTAGTGCGTCAGCCCCCCCTTCCCCGGCATCAATCAGGGTGAACGTTACGCTATCTAACCAGAACTATCGGCGTTCTGAGAGCAGCTGCTCCTGGAAGGGTGCCATGCAGCTCCAGCGTTGCCCCATGGCGGAAAGTCTATGAGGGTAATGGGGGGAACCCATTTCGGGGCCGCCTGAAAGGGACACCAGAACCACAGCAAACTTCGAGACCAACCCATTTTGCTTGGCCACCTTCTCAAGAGCCCCCCCCCCAACCCCGCGCCAACCCCCGCCGCACCTTGGTGGTGACAACCTCGGTGTAGTTCCCAGCGCTCACACGCCCGGAGTAGGGGTTATCCAGCTGCCCGTCGTCCAAATATTGCATGTCCTGCAGCGGACATAACGCTCGCCGCTCGCCCTGGCCTGCTCCTCCCTTCACAAAACTGGGCTGCCCGATTTCCGATCCCCCTCCAAAAGTTTAACTCTTAGTGGGTTACATGGAAACTACCACTAAACACTAGAAAGCTAAAAGGCTAAGGAACCGGATGGCCTTCGGGAGCCACCAAGAAAAGAGTCTCCCTTTCACGTGCATCTGCACCCTGGGCGCCTGTTGAGAACAGCCATCCGCAACTTCAGGGCCATCCAAAGAGCGACCCAAACTCATTGACCGTTGCTTGTCACAATGGAGTCAAGAGGTTTATATGTTGTCTCAAAACTAAGACCCCTCCCCCTTCTCAAAACAATGGGTGGTCATCATCCCCGCAAAAGGGGTACTCTCGACACAGGCACAACCATATAGGCCTCGCAACCGCTCAACACCGGGTAGAACCCCTTTAAGTCTTATTGCCAACAATGGCAATAAGCTGGGGTTGGCACCCCGACCAAGGAAGATACCTTTTGGTGTTGTCCTTCAAACTGAAAAGCCCAGGTACCTTGCCTCGACCTGCATTAGCCATGGGGAATTGTTGGCACTTGATGTTTCGGGGCAAAAACAAACGAGGAAAGCACTGACACCAATGAGTGCCTGGGTTTAGGACACACTCGTACCAAACTGGCCAAAGGGGCTTGGGCGCTGTTCAATTGGAGATGCCATCTGGCGCTGCCCCAAGATTTCAAGATTGACAGCCGCTTCAAGAAGAGACATATTCGTTTCAACACGGACCTTGTTTTGCTGGTCACAGATTGCCGGGTGAACAGAACCTGCTGGCCAAAATGAATCAGTGCCTCACCCTTACCAGACCAGGCTGTCTCATGGAGACGGACATGTATTCACTACTGCCTTAACTCTTACCGTAAGAACCCCTTAGTGCGAACACTATTTGGGGAACCAATGCTAAACTTCTGACAGCTCAATGTGAAAATTGGAATGCTAATTTCGCCCTTTGAGCTTGGATCGATAAACCTAAAGCAAAGTGCAACTTGAGCAATTTCATATACATTTCCCGTACTTTGCAGATTATGAATTTGAGTGTGTTTGTTCCCGGAGCGGGGGGACCCCAACGAGGACTGTAGTGGACCTGAACCCCCCTAAAACCCAATTACTTAAAAACTTAAATGTGTTTTCGCAAAAAACAACAACAAAAGAACTAGTAGGGGCGCTTGTGCAGGGGGCGGGACGGGATCTCGCAATCGGGAGGAGCGATCACGTCTCTTTCGATACATCTCAAGCCAGCCTGCGCTTCATTTCCCAGTTGGCTTTGCTCCTTCTTAACCCGTGACAAAAAGCCAAGGAACAGCTTCCCGCTTCCCATGTACGCATACTGTGGATGGACGAAATCCTGCACCGCCTAAGAAACCCTGGAATGTCGATTCGCCTGTAAATACCGACCAACAATGGTTTCAACCATGGTTTCCAAGTGGTGCGAAATGGATTTCGCAACCATCCACAGTAGGAACCAGCGACGGGGAAACCTAGGACTCCCTCAACGACCGGAATCGAGTGACCGTCTGACCGTTTGACGGGTCGGTCCGGCAAGGCCGCCCGCTGTGCCGGCTCCACCTGCCTTACCTGGCCGGAAGGCGAGTCCTTGTGCTTCTGCTGGTGGATCCCCCTTTTCTTGGGGTCATGGTTTCACTGTTTCCGAGGGATAACGTCAGCAATGGTGATCTTGATGATGCTAAAATCCGGGAGCCTGTTTTAGCTGGAACTTGAGAGGAAGCCAATAGGAAAGCCCGCTGAATCAGGGTATAACCATAGTTTATAGGGGTTGTTGTCAGACCCCCGCCACATAGAGCAATGGAATTCGTTTCTGGACCAAAACCAATCAGAAAAAGTGGGTCTGATGGGCTCCGTCTAGAAGCCTGCGAAGAGTATATAACTTGTGGCCATAGTGGGTATAACCATAGCTGGTCAGTCAACATGTTTAATATGTGCGGCACACACACACACACACACACACGCTGACACCCTTTTACCGTAGTTTACTACGGGGGTGGTGGTGATGGTACAATCGTAATATGTGATATGGAAACAAACATGTGAGTTACCCTAGTTACAACCATGGAGGCCACCCGAAGCATCAAACAAGACCCGGCTCGATTGGAGGGGCTTTTCGGGACATTGGAAGTCTTGGGCCTTAACCCTGCCGATTTTGGATGTTCAGCCCGAATCGTTGCCCCCCTCGCAATACATAGTAGAAACTCTCACCCGTCTACTTTTCTACTGGGAAAACCCACCTGAAGGGACTCCAAAAAGAAAACCCCACCGCACTGGTTTTTCAAGGAAACTCCCTCAAACTTGCAGAAAAGTACCGCTTTTTGTGCGCACACCGAAAATCCTCGAGGCTCCCTGTCAAAGTCCTCTGTGTCTCCAATGCCAAGCCGGGCTCTGGTCTTTTGAAGTGCGCTGTAGGTGTGATTTGCTCTCGTGTCAACTGTGCCCAACATTTGCAGACCCCACATGTGTGTATGCATCCTCCATTCTGGGAACCTGCTACAGAAGGTATGTTTGCGAAGGTGCTCCACGATGCACGGTATCGCAAGATGCTGCTGGGGTTCAAGAAATATCCAGTCAAATTCCAGGGCCACCATCAAGATCCAGCAAATCAGAGATAGATGCCCGAGCCGCTGTCAATTCTTGAATCCTGGTCAGCCCAGGAGATAGACCACACACCACACGCGCGACTGAGAGTCAAACGCTGTCACCTTCAGGTCCGCAGACTCAATCGTTGCCATTTCCAGGCTTACTGACAGTCAAGCAAACCTCGGGAGCTTCCTGAAACTCGAATTCCAACAGGGTCCCCTTGTCAATGGCCCGAAAATGCCATTCCCTATTCCGAAACACACATCACACATCCATTGACACCTCCTTTGCCACTTTAGGATGCGAGATGTGTGGCCTGAAGGGCACTCGGGTATCTGGATTCAGCTGCACAACCACTTGAACCGGCCGGTTTGTTTGTGGCATCCTTCCAAAGCCATCGCGAACCAAGGGGTGCCGTCTGACATGTTCCCACATGTTTCCGACTGTTATCTTCCTATTAGTTCCAGCAACTCCCCCAACACTTCGGTCCATCATCATGGCTTCCTCAGACAAGTGCTACATATCAGATGTCTGACCGGCAGAGAAGCTTGATTTCTCCCATCAACCCCAACAAACATGAGCACGCATGATTGTGTCACAGCAAACAAATCCTCCTTTGACTTGCCTTTCTTGGATGTATGATGAAACCCAGCCCTTGGACGGTTTTGTTGCATGTTTGAGCGCCGCGAAACTTTGCCCTGCCTGTGGATGCTGAAACCTTTGGGAGATGCCCTGCATGCACGTGCCCCCGTCAGCATGGCAGCCTGCACAAAGCTGCCATCGGTGTTCAAAGGAAAGCAACGGATGGAGAGTTGTTCCAGACCCCCTATTGTATATCAGCGCCATAGTTGGGAGTTAGTATCTTGTTTATGTGGTTTTAAAGGAATACCAACAGAAAAGCTACCTCGTTTTTTTTTTTTTTTTGGGGGGGGGGGGTCGACATGGTTTTTCGAGGCATGCATCCCAAAAGGTTGGTAGACACAAATCTCCTGAGTGATCTCCACCAAAAGGATCGTAACTGAAGCTCATACCATTCTTGTCCCAGCTTTACGCCTGCTTGGCCCACTGGTATGCTCGTTTCTTGTCTGGCATCCCTAAGACCCTAAACCTGAAGACATGCCTATGTGCGTCCGTCTTAACATTTTAGGGACCCTCTCAAATGGCGGGTTGTCCCGCAGGTTTCCCTCTCGAGCCACCCATGAAAAGGGGGCACTCAACAAAATACTGGTCCCCCCAACCACTACCACCTTAGGGGGAAACTGGAGATATCCACGTTTCTAGTGGGAAGATTTGTGATAAGGTAGTGGAATCTCGTAATCTTTCGCCACTCAGGAACTTCACCAGACTTAGATCCCCTGCAAAAAGCTAAGTCTTTGCGCAATAAACAATGGGAACTGGCCGGACGCCCCCTTCCATTTGCTTAAGTCCCCCGGGACAAAACGAGAACACTATTCTACATCCAAGATTCCCTTTAAAACCCACAGGGGAACATACTTGCTGGTGCTCAGTATATAGGAAATATGGGAATGAATCGTTTTGGGCTTCCCTTCAAGGAAACCAACTTGGGGATTATTTGTCTTCTGGTCATTTCATTTCTCATCTGAGCACCAACAAGAATACCAAAGTACTCATTTCAGCAAACGGACAACCAGTCCGTCGGCCGGATCCGGCGCCGACTTTTGATTTATTGGTGCCTTGGCCGAGCGGATTCTCCGCCGCGATGGGCCCAGCGCCGAGCTCGGGGCAGAGCTCGTTGAACTCGTCGGAGTAGTACTCGATCTGAGACCCGTCCACCAGACCTAAGCCCATGGTCCGCTCTTGTTGAGGCTCGCTGTCTGTCCTTTTCGGAGTGGTTTGAAAGGGGAAAGGGAAATCACCTTGTTTGTGTGGAGGGGTGGTTTTGGATTGGTAGCTTGTCTTAGGGGGTGGTTCCCCATGAGAACCAGAGGTTCAAAATCCCCAACCAACCAATCCAAGGACCAACTAGGTGATGCCTGAATGTGGATTTGGTCTGTCGCAAAAGACATGGACCCTCTTTTGGGGTAGCTGCTTTTGGTTCTCACTAAACACAAAAGGTAAAGAAAGACCCATATATCCTTCCTCCAGACATAACACCGACAGGGTAGCTGGAAGATAGGTTTCCTGTAAAAAGGTACCCTTTGTCAAATGCGATTGGTGGAAGGAGGGAAGGAGTAGTTCAGCCTCCCTCTAGTTGGTGGTTCGGATTGGTGGTTTGGATTTGTGGTCAACTTACCCTCAAGAACCAGGGGTTCAAATCCAGAAACCACCAATCCAAGCCACTGACTAAGAATCACCTGGGTAAAGCGCCTCAAAACTAGGATGGGTTGAGGGGTAATTACTTTGAAACCAGATTTCTAAGTCATAATAGGGGAAACTAGAAGGCATAGAGCCAAGAAAGGTTTGGGCAAGATCCCCAATACTGCCTGGAAAACACCCTCCCCAAAACAAGCATGGAACAAAGGGAGCCCTGAACCATTTCGTACAGAGACCCGCCAGCCCATCCAAAACAACTCGGGCTTTGATTGGCGAATTGACCCAATGCCTATGGGAAAAGTCGGCTTTTAGGGAGATCCTCTGACCTCATATACCAAGAGGGTATGACAGGGGTGGGTACCTCTTCCTTGAGCTCAGCAAGTCCATGTCAAGCGGGCAAAGAAGGCTGACAAAGGCTAGGAAGGATGTCCTTGCAACCACCGGTGGCCTGGAAGAATTGATGGCCCTGGGAAGTGGAACTCAACCAGACTAACCGGAAAAGTACACCTATGCTTGCAACGGTACATGCCCCATGTGGAACTGATGATCAGAATTGCTTCCATGTGCTTTGCAAGCTTCCACTTCAAGCCAAATGCCCAAAAGTTCACAAAAGACAACTGGGTAGGTTCTGTGTTCACATGCCTGTTTGCGCTTGCAAGCTTGGAAAACACATGAACAAACCCGAGTTCAGCAACTCAGCTGGCGCCTCGTCAAGGACAGTGTTCCAAAAGAAGCAAACATGGGCACCAACCATTCTTTTGGAGTCCAGTGGTTTTCCAACACCGGACCAAAGGCATTCGTGTTGGTGACCAAAGCAACAAAGACTATCGTCTCAAAACCAATCCATGCGATGATGACTCAAGTGCTCCTAAAAGGTCATGGCTGGAAATCGAAGCCTCGCGTTTTTTGGTGGAAAGAGAACCCCTCAGGCAAAGCAAGCAAGAAATCCATGACCGGCAACATGTTCAACTAGCCACGTGCGACTAAGCAGGTTGTGGTGCGAAAGGCAGCCAGCGGGGATGCCATGCCACCGACCGGACTTAACTCATGTATCACCACCACCACCAACAGGCATGAATGGCTTGAAGGCCAGGCCAATGGAAGGCTGATACATCAGTCTGCAAGTAGGTGTCCATTTGAAAGCAGCGGAATCTGACCCAAACGGGCAGGTCGCAGTCCCTCCCGGGCTAAGAGTATACGTTTGATCCAGCAATCCTTTCGCTTCCATTGGAAATGGGTGCCAACCATTTCAGTCCCAACCACTCTGAGCATCCCTTGACCCCCAAACACGAGTGAGCGACCTCCATTCCAGGGTTTGGGACTTGGTTTCTGTTGCCTGCCCGAACAGTTTTCACATCTTGCTGGTCATTGGGAATGCAATCAGTTTCCCCAAAAAAGTCAAAGGTTCTTAACCAAACCGCTCCCAAAAGCCAAAGGCGCTTCAATCCTTGTTTTGGGATCCCACACCGCCGAGTTCAGGCCCCGAATTTCCTCAACGAGCCGCGGATGTGCGAGTCATAGCCCTGGGGATCCCTCGTGAAGGCCTGTGCCCATCCGTCGACCCGGCAGTGAAAAAGTGAACATACCTTAGGAGGGTGCGGGTAGCCTGTGAACCTGTTTGAGTGACCCTGAGGTATTTGGATTAACCTGCGGTCATTGATTATAATGGTACCACCCTCCCCGTACCAAATCTAGGGGGTTACAGTACCTAGCCTATTGCGATGTGATACTCTAAAAATATGTGTAGCGAGGTCCCAAGCCTTCCAATGGAGTTCCCTAAAAATCCCATGCAATCGAGTCGGGTCCTTTCTGATGCTTTAGGTAGTAGACAACGGAGACATGTTTCGGGATCGACCATTTCTTGTGGTTCCCGAACTAAACAAACATAAAAGAAGGCTGCCTAATTTCTCACTTCTCGCTTCTACGTTGTTAGTTCGTCTTTCAATTAAGCCAAAACCGACTTTTCGCAGGTTCTTCCGGGTAGAGGCTGGGGATGGCCCCATTTTCCGAAAGAGATTCTCAAGTTGCCGAAGTTGACCAACACGAACCCGTCCAAACGGGAGCTGAATCACAGCTCCAATGGCAACACGCATTTCCACGCGTTGCTCTGTGTTTCCTTCGAGGCTACCCTTTGTGCGCTGGCTCATTTATTTTTGTTTAACAAAACTTTAAAAAATAATCTCTTGGCGGGCCCTTAGTTTGACACAAACCCATATTTTCAGGTGCATCGCTGGAGGAAAATTTGACCCGAAGTTTGCTATCTAAGGGACAATATCAACATGACGGTCTTGACGCACGGTGTCATCTAGTGGTCGAGTGAGTACGGAGCCTCCTTGGTCGTTTTGTCCGCATGCCACTCGCTGACAAACATCCGCCCGACATGCAAAACTGGAAACCGCAAACTTCAAACTTGTCCACAACCATGCCTACACCCAGTTGCCAAGTGACCCTAACAGAAACATGGGTCCCTTTTTCTTACACCAAAATCCCCACCGTAAAAGACACACACAAATTGGGGGTTGGCCGTTTTCCGCTGAGGCTCCATACTGGCAAAACGGTTCAGCTTCTTGTTGATTTCCCCTGAATCCCACCCATGTCCTTTTTTGTTCTCCGCTTTCTGCTCATACCTAGAAACAGGTGCCCTCAAAAAACTGGCACCCACGCAACAGGGCTCCCTATACTTCCCCGTAAAGCATCACCCCCCACCAATAAACACTCACCTTTCACGGGCCCAAAAGGTGATGTTTAAGATCGCCAAAAGGGGAAATAAAGGCACCCCTGCGCAAGGTCGGGTTCCTGCGGTTTCGCCTCTTACCGGCTTACCGGGACGGGAACGGTTCGCCTGAAAGTCGAGGTCCGCCCTCGCAGGGACCGAGGCCAACAGTGCCAGCGCCCAGAAGCTCCTCAGGAAAAGTCCACGGGCGGGGTGGGCTCGAGGAAATGGGCTCCGAATGGGTGACCCATGGCTTGCGATGAAACAAAAATCAACACAGACCCTCCAACCCGTTGGAGAAGGGAAGGAGCCTCTGCGCAGTGCGCGGCAAACAAGCAAAGCCCACAAGTGCACGGCGAAGGTGTGCCAATTTGTTCCGATGTCTGCCAATTACTCTCACCCAAGTGTACATGCTCTGCACAAAACCCCTGGAAATAAAAGGTGTCCCAGCATCAGGGTGCACTCCATTACAATACTCTAACCGCCCAAACACCGAAGAACTAGGACCCAGTGGATGCAAGACCTTGCCCAGCGGATCCCAGTTATCCTTGTAGGCAACCAGCTGCATCCTTTTGCTTGGTTGAAGCTGCAAGGGGAGCAAAAAGTTCAATGTTAGCAGTTCAGTGGGGATTTCCCACTAAACCACAATATGCAAAAATGCAAAATGTGTCCCAACAACCATGTTTGGCTCTTGAATCCCCTTACCTCAGCTATCTCGATCAAAATTTCGACCACATCCTGCGCGCTGGCTGCCGACCTGGCGGGCGGCTGCCGAACCGGAGAAAAGCCCTCCGAACCAATGTGGGTCCTGCGAGTTCACAACAGGGACCCCTGTTCATAGGTACATGCGCATGGGTCAAAAGTAACCCACTGGTCCGCAGGTTTTAGTCACAAGGGTTCCATTTACAAGGGTTCCATTTGGGTTACCAATTTTTTGACCCACAGCCACGCCAATCTGAATGTAAGTGGCTCCTCCTGTTCTGTCCTTGCAAGGGATAGTGGTCCGATAGGTTTTTCCTCGCAGGAGGATCACCTGCCTGGTACTGCAACCATACCCAGGCAAATTTCTTTGTTATAGCCTCTATCCTATCCTCACCTTGACCACACTCTACAACAGTACACTATAAAGGCACTCCAATGCCAGGAGCAAGCACCTTGCAACAGACACTCTGCAACTGCCCTCCACAAGCAGCCTCCCTCTTTGTTCTGTGTATATATTTATGTATATATGTTCATACTTATATGTATATGTATAAATTGTGATTTTTGTTAAAACCCAGTAGCCGTCAGCTAAGTTTATGATCCCCTGCACAACCCAACTTCTCGGAGCATCTCTTACACGCTGGCCCAGGGTCGCTGCACCCTGAAAGGCAGACCCGCGCCCCGGCTCAGATCCGCTAGGCGGATAGTCACTAACTTCTGGTGGGCGAAGTGGAAACCCCCACTAAAAGGCTCAACAGCTAAGAAGCTAGGAGATGACTGGGCCATCAAGGTGAGAACTACTTGTATCTGGGCAAAACCTGGGTAGCTAGGTGCAAGGACACAGGTGGTTTGAAAAACCTCTTGGGGCATGTTTACCTCCGGTGAAACACACATGCCAATGTTCACGCATGTATGGGAATCTGTCAAGACCAGGAACATCATGGACCTCTTTCAATGGCTGCCTTCAGTTCGATGCAATTCCAGTCATATGCTCTTTCATGTTGATTTCATTTAGCGCCCTTCATCGGGCTCTTGAGCGGATTCGTCAAACCAAGTCCGGACCTTTTGCTTGCCCCTAAACAAATCTGCCACTGAAAAACTGGGAATTCATATGGCTGGCCCTGCCTCTTGGCCCACCAAAGGCCAGCTTCGCCTGCACCCCAAACCGGTCCAGCCGAAGGGCTGAACCACTGGCTGCATCTTAGACATGTGCCTGCGAGTCCTGCCTCCGGTGACTTCGTGGACGTCCCGAAAATTGGTTCGGTTTCCAACTTGTTGCCCTTTCAACCGCCAAAGGAGGCGACATCCTCGTTTTGAGAATACCCCGCAAAATGTGTCTAGCGCTCAAATTTCACACCTCTGAAAAGAGGAAACTCATAAAAACCAACCATCATAAGGATCAGTCATGCGTCACCAGAAATCAACCAGCCAACCACCCAACCAGCCAACCAGCCAATCAGCCCATCCACAAACCCCAATGGCCGATGCTGAGCTGAGCAAGGAATAACCCTGGCAGCACGATACACGGTACTCCAATCAGCAGTAACTGGCCAGAGTCAATCCGTGGGTAAACACCCTCAAAAGGATAATATTTCAACACTAGTGGTGTGATTTGAGCAGGTTTTAACAACAGGTCATGTTGTGCGAACATGGAATGTACGCAGGAACACGTCCTTCGGCAGTACGAGAATGCCAGAATCAACTTAGGAGGATTCAGGACGAAGGGTTTGCCAATCGGATTCACGAATCCTAGTCAAATGGGAACCCCTCCTGCCTAAAGGAAGGATCAATTGCATCTGCAGAGCCAGCTTCCGAAAGTCAGTGCTGGGATGCTGGATTTATGCAGCATGCAGAACAAAGTCCACAAGCAGCCTTCTCCAAGAGACGCTCTGTTTTCTTGTGAGCAACAGACTAACTGCCTGGTTTCCCCTATATAAGGACATTGGCAATTGGGTTTCCCCCTGGTTTTTGCGAGAAATTCGGATCAGTCTGCTTGTTGCAGAACCCCACCAGTTGCAGCTCCCACAAGCATCAAAGAGTTCTTTAAACAGGGGACACGCCTTTCAATTCCTGTGTTGCGGGACCGCCCTTTGGTTACTTGCTACTCAGCAGGCAGTGAGGGAATGAACCTGCGTATCCCTCAAAGGAAACCATAGGGGATGGTTTATACGGGATATCTCCTCATTCCCTGCTGAGCACCAAAGCGACGGCATCACCCGCAAAAACTGCCTGCGGAGACGTCGGGACCTGCGGTCCCCGATCACCTCAGCCGCGCGGCGAAGTGCTCGTCTCTGGTCCTTTGGATGGATCGGCACCCAAACGAAAGCCACTTGCTTCGGTAATTGGTTTCCAAAAGGGGGGGTGCAACTCAAAAACTAAGTTTGGGTATGTACGTGGGTCTCGCAACTGCAGCTGATTTGTCGGACTTCATAAGAAAGACTGACCTCACACAACCAAATTTGGCAGCAATGCGTTTGTTATAGCGTAGTTGTCGCTTTGCAAGAAAGGAGCATCCTGGTGTTGAAATGACACACAACATATGACGTAGAGGGCGTGTATTTTGTCGGTCGCTCCCTCCCTCCCGCTGTCCCTCTCCCACAAATATATACATATATATATGCATACATATATATATACATATGTATGCCTATCACTCACAACCCTAAACAAAGGGATACTGTAGAGAAACATTATATCTGAGCTCGTCTTATCTCTGTGAGCACAACGTAAAGCATCCTACTCCCGTGATGTACATGGAAACATTTGTGATGCCAGTTGTTTTGCTAGAACCTTGGCGAGCCACACATGCCCCTCACTCATTGACCGCATTTTGGGTAAATCTGATATGAGCTCAGTGCAAGCGATTGTCAAGTGAGCTGAGCAAACGTGAATTCTTGGTAGTGTTGAGCAAGATAAGCTGGCATTGAACAACTTGCCGGACTTTTACGACATGTCGCGCGCGATCGGCCTCTCGGCGGAACGCACCCGCCACACTGGGCTATAGCCCGAGGTGCGCGTTGGCGCTCCAAAGGTGGCCAAGAACAGAGTACCAACCACGTTGAATGATTGGGCGCCGCGTGGCCACCGGAGATACGTAAAGCATGGTGTGTCCCAGAACAGAGCACCACCACGTTGAGCGGCTGGGTCGACGCAAACCAGTGAATCCATAACACCAGTCTGTACAGCTATAGCGCGTGATCTCGGCCATGCTCCCGAACCACTACCCCAAGCAAAAATCAGCTGACGGCCCGTCGCCCCTATCCAAATGCAAGGCGAATCCAAAACAACAGGAAGAGGAAGCCTGGCACTGAGGTAACCAATGCTGCAGTCGGATAAGCAGCAAGGGGAGAAAGCAGCCCCTTGCTCCAAGAAAACTTGCACCTGCACTTCATGTCACCAACAAGTTCCAGCACAACACACAGAGCTCATACGTGTTCAAAGTGAGCAATTCAAAAATCTCCACAAACCACATGCTCTTGCTTGGCAATGCATCCCTGATCGCCCTTCGCCCCGGCGTGTAAGGGAAGGGCGCAAAGGACCTGGCACGCGCACGGCTGAGATAAGTGTAGTCAAGTGTAGCCTCCTGACGTAGGCACAGAAGAGCACACAGAGACTGCGAAGAGTGTACGGCAACGAAAACCAGACCGCGCTCAAGGCACCTTGCGTGCCCACTGCTCGAGCATCATGACCAAATAGAAGCTCCAAGCGGCGAAGCTGACAGATACACGAACACAGCAAAGCATGGAAGAGCGATTGCCAACGCTGCCAAGTTGTCCTACCACGACACGATGTGAGATATTCACCAAAATGAACTGATACCATCTGATACCTGTGAATCCCTGCTGAATGAAGCGCCAACGGGTGAAGCGAACTGCATCTGCCCGCACATGCAAGACCAGGATTATGAACAACCACACGACGATTCAGCAAACATGCCGGCCTGCATCTCCATCTCGAAGTAACACCTACACCACGGCGCACCCACCCTGTAGATCATCGCAAACCCGTGTCCATAGCGCCGAGCGAATGGGGTGCACGGCCCACAGGTTGCTTGGGCCAGGCTGGCATTGAACAACTGGGATCCACCCCTGCCCAACTGCGGCGCCGGCGCTGCAGGTGAAGCCACATGGCATCTTGTCAATGGCTGGCGTTTGGTGTTTCTTTTGGTAGGGGTTGTTGTTTGGTTGCTTACTTTCTGCTTGGTCTGGTTGTTTCGTTGCTTGCCAGAACAACCTCTTTTGCTGAAACCGGTGTCTGTTGAGTCTCCGGACACCTCCCAATGGGCGAGGGCCTGCTTCTCAATGAATGGAGTCTGCCAGTCAATCTGCTTGGAACAGAGCGGTGGTTGAACGGGTCCAATGGCGCATGCCGGTTACCTTCGCGGCTTTTTCGCCAGGTGCCTTCCCGCAGCTCCGAAGAATACATCTGTCTTGAGCGGATTGGTCCGAAAAAGTCAAGGCCTGGTTCTTGTCAACTAATCGCTAAAATGATCCTCCCAAGCAGTTTCAGGTCCACAAGTTGAAGACTCAATCTCTGTACAGACTGGTGAAGCAAACATGTGGTGGGCTGGCCATTTCATGGAGAGCTCTTGCCCTTTCAATGAACCACAGAGTAGAGCTGTTCGTGAGCCATGAGCGCGCCGGGGAAGTGAGGCTACAGGTGTGAAAAGCGTTTGAGTGTACCTGGGGGTTCAAGCAACAAGCAAGAACCCTCTACAACTTGCCGAAAATTATTCGGACTGCAATAGAGCAGCGATGTAAGAAATCTAAGCAGGCTCAACGAAAGGAAGCGAACACCAAATCAACTCTCCTGAATGCCAATCTGAAACAACTGCCCTGCTTGCAATAAATAAGCGTGGAATGTAGCTACACACGATTCGCTGCGGAGAAGCCGCACGATTCGCAACTGCCTCGGTTCCTTTCCCGGACAAATCAAACGGACATGATGTTCAATACCTGCAGGGTCCTTAGTCTCCATTCGTTCCCAAAAACTCTTTTGAAACCCCGCAAGGTGTTGGGTCTGCTTCAACTGTATGAAAGGAACTTCAAACTAAATCCGGCCCAGGCACGGTGGATGCCCTTGAATATTGTGCGGGGGACAGGGGAAAACCTATAGTTAGCCGCACAGTTTCCCCGGCCTTTTCTATGAGCGAGGCCAGCGGGTCATGAACTTGCACCTTGATTTGTAGGGAATCCACCATACATCTTTGCCATGGCCTTCCCCAAACACGCCGCTAGTAGGCTAGGGCCTGCGAGCGCAATGAGTCTCGGCCCCCCGGGTCAGTCTCTGGGTTCAAAACCATAAGACGTTGGGCAGCGCTATAACATAGGACAACCACTACAGTATATCGGCTGGAATGTAGGTTCAGGATTGGTTTCAAACAATCCAGTCATACAACCATTGTATCATTTCAGGAATATCCTTTAAATGCCATCAAACTGCAATCGGTGATAATCATTTCAAGTGAATCCTAGAAACTCAGCCAACGAGACCTTTTGGATGGGCACCTGGCAGTTGGCCAAGTAACAACCCAGTCAAATAGTCGAAGGGCTATGAAGTCCGAACCGGGCGCTGGAGGAACCATGCAGGAGGAACCATACATGCTTCCTTGATCTCAGGTCGACATCTGCGATTTGAGAATCTGCGAGAAGCTGTAATTTTCAAGTGGGCAGCAATTGGACCAGTGCACCATCCCCTCTACGACACCACACGGCATACCATATCACAAGCAGTGTTTGTTTCTTGGGGGAAACCTAAGATGTTCGCTCGGACGGAACCGGTGAACCAGTGGCAGAACCCAAAGCTCCGCTCGCCTGTAGCCATAGAAATAGAAAGACAGAAGCCAAATGTGCTGGGAAGCAAACAAAGAGCTTCTTTTGCTCGCAAGAATACCCTCAGACTCAACACTAGAAAAGGCATAGTCACCTAGGTTTCAACTTGAGGGGGCTCAGCCAACCCAAAGCTGTTCGGGTCAACAAATTGAGGGGGGGTCCTTTTGGGTTACTCCAAGCCCGGGTTTTCCCGAACACATTTGGATTTTACCAATCGAAGAAAGAAACTCCTGACCAAACCTCTCTGTTTTGCTGGCATTTCTTCGGGGGGATGCGTCTGATTTGAGTCATCCAGGTCTATCCGAAGTGAACATTGATTGACCAACCCGGGCAAAGAGCCCCAGCCCCAGCAGCCAAACCCTCCCCTCCCACCCTCCCACCATCCAACCCTCCCTCCCGGGCGGGGTCTCACACGTCCACCTCATCCTGCGACAGCGTTCTTGATCCGGCGAGGCAAAGGGTCAGCTAATTCTAGTGCTTAAGTCACCTTTTGGTAACCCCAACCACCGTAACGTAGCCCTCGAACCTGCGCAATTTACTACAATTCCCAAAAGCTAAAAGTAAGTGGAGAAAGGTCGAACATGGATGAACGAGGGCGGCCTCATTGCGTTTAGTGACTGCGTTTTCTGTTCAACAAAATTCAGTGCCGCAGAGGCCTAATTAAAAGGGCGTCAAATTAATTCAGTGCCCCTGAGCGGCCTAAAATTAGGGTAATTTTCTGACCGCTTAGCGGCATCCAAAGGTTTTACTGCCCCAGGGGGCTAAAATGTCAGGCGGATTAGTCGCATCCAAAGACCTGGGGTCTGGAAAGGTGGCGTCCAAAGATTTCGTGGTCCTGCAGGTTTTGGGAAGCCTCGGGTGGTTTCATGCCGTCCAACGATTCCAGGGGCCAGGTGCCAAACATGTAATCACAAAACCCTCATGGTGTCCAATCGCAACGCACCCAGCCTCACTTGAGGCTAGTGAGCACCAGGAACACCAGCACGGCAAGAAACAATCTCCACAGAGTTCGATCCCGCGATCCGGGTGCTTGGCGTTGTGCAAAATTATACCCTTCCACTCGCGACTACATGGATTTTAGCACGATGCCGATTTGTCTGTTAATTTCTGGTTGGTGGATTGACAGATATCACCCGCATTTACAAACACGATGCCGTGCTGCCAGGATCACTTTGCTTGGCAGTCCGAACGGAACCAGAGGTTTCCAATCCCAACCTTGGCAGGTTGCCTCCTCGCTGGCGAAAGCTCCCGTTTGCTCGCTGATCCGTGCATATGACAGGCTAAATTCAAGGTGCCCTGGAATCCCGCATGCATTCCTGGTGTCCCATTGAGGATACCCCTTCCGGGGTTGGCTTTAAGGGGAACCAAGGGAGACAACTGATCTCTTGAGGGTTCCCCCTGTTGAAAGTCGCCCATCTGTTGGCGAGTGCCATTGCCAACGCCCAAAGCTCAAGAGCCAATCGGAAGCGGCTATCAAGGACCGATGCATTCCCGAATCCTGAAAAAAACAAGCCATAGATCTCGTCACTTGGCCTGCGAGCGCCTGGCCTGGGTGGGCGTGGCGGTGAAGTTGGGCCGACAATGCCTGGGAGGGCAAAACCCATCTCAGGCACCTCCGAACAGCTGGCATTGGCGACCAACACCTGGCTCTGTGTCAAAACCAATGGTCCCATTTGCGGTAGGTGCACCACCCATTTTAGATTATTTTAGTGGGGATTGGGATGTTCATTGGGGGTACGGGATTTTGACCCATGGCCGCCTGAGATCCTAACCAACGAATTCCATGCGGGAATGGAGACCCCCATTTCTACTTGAACCTTCCAATAAGGTAGTCTTAAGAAAAGCCATCCAAACCCAACCCAGCCAACCTGGGCATAAAACAAACCCAGCCAAGCTGGTCATCAGCATATCAGCCTAATTTTATGTGTTGCAGACACCAAGCAGGAGGCTCAGCCCTGGTTCTGTTCAGCTTCCTTCGGGCCAGATGCCACTCAGCACTTAGCCAATAGATGTTCAACCACATCACCCCGCCCAAAGGAAAACTCACTGTAAAGGCCCGCAAAAAGGTGATGTTTAAGCCACCCATACACAGCCCAAAGGGAAATGTACGGTTGCCTCATTCCACAAGAGACTTAGACAACAGTGATGCTCTCTTTGGTTTTGCGGAAAATGTGGGTTATCAGTTCTCCCCCTGTCCTCCGTAAACCGACAGGTGTGAACCAATGCTCAAAGAATGGCTAGGGCGCCATCTTTGGTCAGTGGCCCTCAGAAACCCACCCACTGGCAAACATGGGCCAAGCCTCCGCCCATGAATTCCCTTGAACCTAGGGAAAGGGCATGGGCTTTATATACTTGAAAGCGATGGTTTTCTTTGAGCCCAATGACTAATGGGCCGCGACACGTGAGTTCAACCTCTGCGCCCATCCTATCTTGAGTTGATCGGTTGGGACAGCTGCTCATTTAAGGCGCTGAGGGGCAGCCTGTGCCTACTCAATACCGAAACACTGATCAACCCTCAGGCCAGAAATCTGATCCTGTCGATTGGGCGGCTCTATGGCGCCTATCAAAAAGGGAGACACCGCTGGCAGGGGGTGGAAGTTTAACCTAAACCCGCAACCCTGTTTAAATGGCTGATCTGATCTGCAATGCAAAAATGCAATGTCTGCTGACTCATGTTGGAAATTTAAATGGCTAAACTGCAATGTGTGATAACTCCAACATGAGGATCATGTTCATGCTGTGTGGGTATCGCGTAAAGCTGGGACTGTTTGGGATCGGATAGCTTTTGCACGAAATTCACAAACCCGCCCGTTGAGACCCACCCATCCACAGTCTAATAGTCCCGTTGAATGGCAAGGGGTCTGGAAACCAATCGCTCATCTGGCACGTTCCTTGTGAAACAATGGGACATGGGCAAAAAACGACTCTCTTGCCCCGGTTCCCCTGGACTGTCCCATGTCAAGGCCAAATCGATGGCGACCTATGCCAAGCCCTGCAGATCCCCATGATGGCGGGTGTTCCAAAAGCTGAGAGACACAAAGGATCTCCGAACAAGGGAGGACAACAATGTCCTGCGCGGAAGACATTGGACTCACTCAGATCTACGGAAAAACTCGGAAATCTGCCAGAAGATAGCTTGAAATGGGTTTCAACACCGACAATACAGCACTTCAAAAGGGAACATGGACTTCTAGGGGACTTCACTCAGACCTGATGGGGTGCCGCCAAAGAATGCTGATTCCAGGCAGGGCATCTGGAGTCAAACAAAATCCGTGGAAGCTGCACTTCCAACCTTCAGACACCTTGAAAAAAAAACAAGTAATCTAGTAGTGATAGAT